TTTGTAATGGTTTTCAGTTGAAAGAGTTCATATTGAGTCGACCGGAGGCTTATGAGATCAAAATAGGCGATCAACTGTTCAGAAGGCCCGGGGATCCTTCGTTTGAAGAAGTTTTTCAGAAGCTCCAAGCAGAGAAAGCTAATTCCAGAAAAGATGAAATTCATAACGAGCTTTAGTCGTTTGCATGACAGCCGTTTATTATATCAACTTCAATTGTATGATGTTTTTATCTCTAAAATGTTCTATATATGTATATAATATATATGTGACTGGATTTACCCAGTTGATTTTGGTGCATGTTTTTGCTTGTAAGAAGTGTTGGTGCAAGTGAAAATTATCAGGATTATTATTAAAAATCATATTTTCCCCAAAATTGCAAACAATCTCATTGATTCTTGTTTTCCTTTTACAGATAGCATCCTTAAGAGGCTGTATGTGATCTTTTTAAGGGTTTGCCTGTAATTTTAAAATATAGCTGGGTTCTTTTGTAACTTTCCAAGAACTACATGCAATCGGGTGGTTCGAACTGTCGGATCAACACACACACATGGGTGTGCGTTGATCCGACAGTTCGGACCTCGATGGGGGGTTTGTGAATTTTTCCCTTGCAATTATTATCTATTAAATAGTAGAAACAACATTTGCAACTTGCACAATTGCCTTTATGGCTTATCATACATAATGTGGACAATAAAAGTCTCAAGAATGTAGCTCTAAGTCATGAATATATCCACAATTATTTAAGCAATTGAAGTTAATATGAGGTACTTTTCACCACAAAAAGTCAAAAAGGCCATCATTTTAGCTTCTTGCTAAAGCTGGACAACTGAAGAAGTTGAATTCTGGAAATGCTTGCAGCCTCTTCTCTCTCTTTCTGAGTGTTGTAACCCCAATCTCCTGTTTTTTTTTTTTTGTTGGGCAAATTTACACATTTTTAATAACCCAAATAATGCAAAATGCCAATATAATCGGGGCCTATGAAGGCTCGTCTAATGTCAGAACATGAATTACCTAAGTATAGGTTCCACTTGTTCAACTCTGGCTCGTTTATGACGTTTTTCAAAGTTGCGAGCCGATCTTCAACAAAGCTACTCGACACACAGAACAATCCAAAAAGTTTCGGAGTTTGATAAGCACCCAAAAAAACATTGAAGCTTTAGCAGTAAACGTCAAATAAATATCGATGCACATTTGTGATTTGAAAGATATAATCGGGCTTTTCTTGAAATTATGTTGAAATATATTTTATCCTTCGAGGAAGGATCTTACTGAAGTGATAGACCCTGGTGTTCTGGCATCTCCTGAAGCAGCTTCAGAACTTTCACCTTAGGCCTGACAAAAATCTTCACATATTCAAAAACAATTTCGAGAAAAGGA